TCTATAACCTGGATATTCACCTGTACATACACACATTTGTGTACTGTAGAATAAATGTATATTTATTTTTTTATTTTTTTAATCTAAATAATAAATGCCTTAAGTTTGGGCATCATTACATTTATATAACTCTACTTGCGCTTTAAGCCGCCCCTGTTTTGAGTTCAGGCCCAAAACTTAATTTTGCAGCATCTTTGAGGAGATATGAATAAAAGTAAAGTGACAGAAGGAGACAAAGCGTTAACTGGACTGACAGTGTGGAAATTTATTGAGGATCTATTCTTCTCTCCACTCCCTCTTAGTTAAACCCCGAGAAAAGCTTTGATTTCCCCTGAGAGGAGGGAAAGGAGAACACACACACACACACACACACACACATGCCCTTCAGTCAAGTTTACAGCCTCCACGCAAAGATGTTCTCCGCTGCCCTTTACAACAATATTGACAGTGACAATACATGAAAAACTTAATGATGGCATAACAGGATGGAAATAAAAACGTCTTTAAAAATATTTTATTACTTATGTATGTTTTTTGCTTGCACATGAATGACTTTTATTTTAAAATAAAATAAACCGTGTATTTCCCCCTGCATATTTTACTCAGTTGAACATGCTGGAGCACAACAGTGTGTAGTGGAGACATCCAAAAAAAGCCTTGAGACTTCACTGAATGGACACATTAAAAAGTGGTTCTGAGTGTTCAAGTGTCATGCTGAGATCTCAGCTCATGAAAAATTGCTTTGATATTTTATGGTCCTTTTGGCATTCCTCTATATGTGTACTAGTGAGAAGTTAAGAACATGTTGTTTATTAGACCTCATATAAAAAAAAGATAAATATATATACACACACACACACACACACACACACAACAACAGTGTGTAAATATAGTTTAAAGTATAAATATATAAATAGTATAACGTATAAATGAGCTGTAAATATATGAGGATGTAAAACTGTGTGGTCATTGGCATTCCTTGAATTTTTACTCAATATCTATTTAAAATTAAATTAATTTCCTATTAAATTGTCCATGGTGACATAGTGGTTAATGATCTAGGCTGGAAGCCAAAAAGGTTTGAACCACACACCCTTAAGCAAGACACTTAGATAAACGTATCTTCTAAATAATTATTTTGTCAATCTTGAAACTTTGAGGTATTTTGAGCGTACATTTTTGGACATGACCAGTAGGTGGGGCTCATGTAAAATCTACCCAAAAAATAGTAGAAGGACAGCATCTCAGTAGTCTTCTTCCACGTTTAACATCTATTTTACTGCTAAACTAACACGTTTTCCTATATAATTAATCATACACATATCATCATATCAACAGAAAAATATAATGGATGTGGAAAATAAATATGCAAAATAAATTGAAATTGGCTTTTATTACAAAACGGTACAAAAGTAGCCTACATTATAAAAATATTTTGTTAGGTAGCCTAAAAGTGTACTTTGTGTGCTATAAAATTTCATGCCCAAGAAACAATGTGACCCAATCAGTCCTAACACATCACATATAACAAAACAAAAAAAATGTTAAATAGTAAAAGTAACACATTTTAAGTTTTTACATTATAAAATAATTTAAATTATAAAACCATTTAAATATAGTCTTTTAAATACTACTTGGCGTAAATGATACATTCAGTGCTTCAGTCATATTGCAAGTGAATTCTAATCCAAATGCTTTTGCCAACAACATCTGTGTCCGGCGGATACTGGCAGTGGTCCTAGTGCTTTCAGATCTTCTGTGATTTCCCATCAGCTGCATGAGGCCAACTCTCAATCCCAGGATTCTGATTGGCCAGTGCCAGGCCATGTGACAGGATGGAATTCCACTCATAGGGTTTCAAGAGTTTCCAGATCGCCCCTTCTGTCCTCCCGTGCTCTTCTGCACTTTCATTTATGGCTTTAGAAGCAGTTGGATATCTTAAATGTGGAGGTGTTGTTGATGTTCTTCCTGTTGCAAATTAAACAAAAAAAAGTGCACACATTCATTTAATGCCTAACATATAATAGCCTACGTATAAACGTTTTCCACAGTATAATGTTTATACAAGAGCATTAAGCAAATTAATACATTGATTCTCAACCTTAGTAAAATTATACCATGACTATATATGTGTCTATTAGTTTTGTGCCTAATATTGTTTAGCATTAGTTCATTTTTACTGACTGAAAAATGCAAGTGATATAATAAAATGTCTGTACCTGTTCCAACAAAGCTGCAGGTTGATGCCTTGTTTTGTGTCTGGACTCAAGCAGCGCTGGATGACTTCAGATGTGTTGTTCACAGGTTTCAGTGTCAGTCTGCAGACATTGAAAATGCATCAAATTAATAAGATTCAGTCTAACTTATATAATTTCATTCAAGTTTACATACAGATTTATAAAACCTTAAGTAGTCTAAATGGGCTTTTTGCAGTTAAAATGTCTGAAAATCCTTAAAACAAGCACACTTTATTTGAGAAGCAACACTGTATACGATTTAAAGACTTTTCAGAGCATTAATTATTGTGTCTCAAGTATAAACATGTTAAAACACTTTTAATAGGCAGTGTTGCCTCTTAACCAAATTTATCTTATTTTAAGGATATTTTAACTGGAAAGCTAGTCGAAGATAGACCTATACATTGCATATGATAAGTTAAACGTCACAAGCTGCTTAGTGTTTGGCAACTAATATAAACGTATATAACAAACAAAGTTATAGAGCATCTAAGAATATCGCTATAAATATAATAACCAGCATTTTTATTAAATGCAGGTTAACAGATTGACACTTACATGATTTCAACATTCTCGCACTTTGATTTTCGGGGGAAAATAGAGAACTCTTCAATATGTTCTCTTGGGACACGTTTCTTCAAAGTATTCAAACACCAGCACCTGTCAGGTCCGTCCGCTAGAACTGTTAACATAGAAAAGCATAGAAAGATTCATTTAAAATGCACGATTCTGAGAGAAGATAGTGATTCTGCACAATAATCTCTCTAGATAATGTTTAAAAAGCAAGAAAAAGCACAAAATACCTGACTATAACAAACACACTTTTAGATGAAGAGATATTAAAGTGTCATTAATGTCTTACCTCCACTCAGTTGAATACAAACTACTGCCAGCAGCAGCAGAAGACGGGCTCTGGGTAAAAATGCCATTACTAGTCTGCTAGTGTAATAAATAGGTAAGAAATGCAGAAAGATCAGCTGCAGTGGTTTGCTGAGCTTTCGGAGAAAGTAATAAGTTCTGTTGGAGCTGTAGTGAAAGTGTAGGGAGTGAAGCCTCTCCTCTCTCTTTTATAAGGCACGAGAGGGATTCCCACACCATTTCCCAGCAGTCATGCTGTTTGTTACAACGGAATTTCCAAAATTCTGCCTGTCTGAGCAGGGAGGGAGGGAGGGAGGGAGGGAGGGAGCCGAAGTGAGGCAGAAAGGTTGAAAAAAGAAGGGAAAGTGAGAGAATTAAGTGAACACAGTTCCAAAGAAATGCAGGATAGAAATAATAGAAATAGAACACTGCAGACTCAGATGCTCATGTTGAATTGGAAAGTGAGATTTGACAAATGCTCATGTTGAATTGGAAAGTGAGATTTGACTAAATTATTGATTATACATTTACACAATGGTGCTCAGTAAAATAATTAAATAAATACAAAGTTTCATATAGTTCTTTATGCTGTATTTATGTATTAATTTATTTTGTTCAAGTAAAAACAAATTTTTTTTTTTTTTTTACTTGAATGCATTTGGTTACACTCATCATTTATATTAACTATTGCAAGCATTTGCACACAATCCATCATGCAAACACAAATCCAGTCCAAACATTTGACTTCTTGTATAGTTATAGGTAAGAAAGTATATTCTCCCTGGATCACATGTACACTCTAAAAACGGCTGGGTTAAAAACAACCCAATTTGGGTTATTTTGGCAACCCAGCGCTGGGTCAAAAAGGGATGAACCCAGCTCTGGGTTGTTTTAAAGACCCAACAAGTTGGGTTATTATGTTTGACCCAGCATGCTGGGTTGCTTTTTTATGGTTTAAAATTTAATTAAAATCTATCCATTTTCAGATAGAGGTGCATCCACATCAGTAATGATAGGTAAATAGTCTGTTTTATAATTTCAACCACTTTGTGTGGTTGTTTAATGTCTCCGTAATGGCAGCGCTAGTGTGAGGGCATGTAATATTGTTTAAATAAATATATTGCTTTCAGAAAGCTACTTCTTTATTGAACCATTAAAACAGACATGACAGTCACATACCTCACAAATTTTCATGTACGTGGAGGGCTGCTCTTTAAAGGGTTAGTTCACCGAAAAATGAAAATGGTCATTTTTTGGGTGTTGTTCCAAACCCATACAAACTCTGCTAATTTTTGGAACACAAATAAATATATTTAATATTCTCTTAATTTTTGTCCTCCATTGCAAGTCTGGGAGACCAGTATTTTCTTCTGAACAGACATGTTCGCTATGATATAATTTAAGCTTTATTCATATATAAATATTGGCATGGATTACTTCTACAATAACTCTGTATTTTTGAATCATGAAAATAATGATTATCTAGACTTTCAATGGATTAACAAAAAATTATGAGAGAAAGTTAAAAATATCTTCATTTGTGTTCTAAAGATAGACAAAAGTCTTTTAGGTTTGGAATGACATGAGGGCAAGTGAATTCTTTTTTTTTGTGTGGACTATTCCTTTAAGAAAGGAAGACCAAGAATGATGACTCTCCAAATCAGACAACTCCAAAGTTGGTTTGAGTTCTGCAATGAAAAACACAGACATCGTGTCCTTCACTCCAAAGTTAGTTTGAGTTCTGCAAAGAAAAAAGGGACATCAATGGTTTAAATAAAATATGAACACGTAATCATACTGTTGTTGCATCAAAATGTGAGGTAAACAGGCAGGAGACAACAGAAACATTTATTTTCTAAAAATAACTCACATCAATCTTAAAAGAATGATGCTCTCCTATGCCTCTGGCTTTCAACAGCTACAAAAACAACAAACATACTTTAACTCTTAGTAAAAAAAAAATTGATAACATGATGGAATTATGAACTTTACTTGCCTTAACCGTCTTTCCCTCTTCTGAAGAAGCTGAGAAAATCACCTCCTCACACAAGCAGGGTTCTGTGTCGTTAACTCCCGGCGCGGGTACAATGAAGAAACAAAGCACAACATGTCTGAAATATAACATGCAAAACATTACTTTTAACAATTATCACTTCATCAGCCTCAAAATACTTAGGCTAGTCTTTATTACATAACGGCGTTTCCTTTAGGAAACTACATTCAATTTAACCGCGAATAAGGAGATAACGAATTAACACGCACCGCTGGGTTATTGATCAAGACTGATTTTCAACCCAAAATTGGGTTAAAACAACCCAACATCCTTACCCAGCGGTCTCAACCCAGCATTTGGGTTGAAAAAACAACCCAGCGTTTTTTAGAGTGTATTAGGCCTATGTTAATCTCAATTACCAAAAACCAGTGACTCAACATCCAAGCGGATAATATTCTGCGGCGTAATGATGCTTATCAGCGTCAGAACATGCAACCACTGCTACTGTCTGACATGTTGAGACAGATATACCTCATAATCATTATGTCAGACAGAAGTCACAAGTCTGACTAATGCCTTATTTGTTGTGGGATTTTGTGTCATTTCCCCAGTTACATTGAATGCAAAATGCACACAGCTAATCATAATCTGCCTGAAATGATAATGTGTTTATTTTCTGCATTTGAGGGAAACAGTAAAGAATGTTGAGGGCAATGTCCACCAGTGATAGCTAATGCAAGGTTTAAACCATGCTATGAGAACGTGTGATGAGTCAGTTGTTTTGACCTATTTTGACATTTTTGTGGATGAAGTATGAGACAGAAATGTAGAGAGGAGGCAAATGTCCTAAATTAGTTTAATTGTCACTTAGACTGTACTTTTCAATTGTCAGTTGTTATTTATGATTTTGAATGTATTTATTTGTTGCTTACATTTCATTCCTTTTTATACTTACACTATAGTTCAATAGTTTTCCTTTCCTTTTCTTTCTCTTTCTTTTATGGAAATAATTACTTTTATTTAGCAAATTGCATGAAATTAATTAAAAGTGACAGTAAAGACAAGGTTACAATTTTTTCTTTATTTTTTTTTTTAACTGTCTATTCAAAGTATCCGGGGAAAATAGTATCACAATTTCCACTAAAAACAAAATTAAGCAGAAAATTGTTTTCAACACTGATTATAATAAGAAATGTTTCTTGAGTAGCAAATCAGCATATTTAAATGATTTCTGAAGGATCATGTGACACTGAAGACTGGAGTAATGATGCTGAAAATAAGCTTTGCATCACAGGAATAAATTACATCTTAAGATATGTTAAAATAGAAAACAGATATTTTAAATTGTAGCAATATGCAGTCATCTCATTTATACACATCAACCCATTTATGAAATGCACCAGTGCAGCATTGCAGCATTTATAACATTTCCCATAGGATGTGGTGGTTTGGCGTAGTGTTTGAAGATCTGAGTTTGTACAGGAAAGTTGTAAGGTTCAAACCCATTAAGTGATCTGTTAGGTTAGATGGTTTTATTTACCTTTAGATAAGTGCCTGTTAAATGCTGATTATTTATTAGGGGAAAAACTACATAGTTCGCTTTATTGCATAAAGAGACCTGGTGCAGACACATCAGTCAATTTAAATAGTCCAACAGTTTTGTAGAGTCACTCTGAAATGAGCAACAAATGAAAATTGCTAGTACTTTAACAGGATCATGATTCCCAAAACTTAAACGGAAAAGGAGGATATGTCATTGCCACATCAAAATCAGGAACTGGGAAGGATGCCATCTTTGAAGCCATCATACTCAAGAAGTCATGATCAACTCATTCGTCCAGTATGCAGACTGATTTTTGTATGTGTGGCCCAGAAATCCCCTTACCATTGAAGCACAGAATCCAGAAAAGCAAAACATAGACTTACTGTAGATCAACTGACAATATTAAAACTTTGCAAAAATAAGAAGAGATAGACATGTTTGAAGCTAAATGTTTTGCATTTAATTAGGTGAAAAAATTTGGAGCACAGCTAGACAGAAAGCACATTGCAAAATATCTTGGCTGACTAACTGCTCTCTCTGACCTTTGAGCTCTATGATAGCATACTGCATTTACTTTAGAAAACCTTTTCTAAGAAAACGAAGTTATGTTTACATTACTGGTAACTTCATGCGAACTCAGATCTCTCAGCTCTTGACAGTGTATTTGCAGTGTGTGTGGCAGTAATTCAGTCCAGCAGTGTTGTGAAAGCATTGTAAAGCTGCTTGGCAGCAAGACAACATTCTTGTTTGGTTAAATAAGTCATCCCCAGTGTCTGAGAAGAACCGCAGTGGCTTAGAGGAAAACGAAACCTAACTAGTTTGTGTTTATTAAAGCATGCTGACATGTAATTGCTTTCTTCTGTTGTTCTGTTTTGTCTGTTTAGTGCTTAGTCTTTTAATGCAAAGCTGAAATTATGCTTCAGTGTAGTCTACAGTTCATTCAACACATTTACATTTGTTAAACCTAATATTAAATAGCAAAATTTAAACAGTAAAACTACAAATATATAAAGCAAAGAATACACAAACATATACAGTTGTAGTCAACATTTTACATACACTTTGCAGTATCTACAAAATGTTAATTATTTTACTAAAATAAGAGGGATCATACAAAATGCATGTTATTATATACCTGAATAATATATTTCACATAAAAGATGTTTACATACAGTCCACAAGAGAAAATAATAGTTGAATTTATAAAAATGACCCCGTTCAAAAGTTTACATGCGCTTGATTCTTAATACTGTGTTGTTACCTGGATGATCCACAGCTCTCAAAAATGACACTATTTTAATTCACTGCAGATAAAAATAATTAATTGTAATTTTTATGATTATTGCAGCATATTCCCGAGGCTGTGACTTTTGCATCATTTTTGTCTCCATCACATCATGCACACGTCTTCTGGGTCAGTCAGCGCTTGTGCAAACAGCCAGTCCAGAGGGTCGTGATTTGAACTCACCGGGCCCTTTGAGTCTGTCAAGGTTAGTCATACGTTGTCAGGTCCAGGGAGAGCCCAGGGCTTTTGTGCCAGGACTGAACCACGGGTGGCCAATGACATGCTGGGGTATTTGGCCAAGTGCAGTGGGGACAGACGGGAGCCCCGGAGGGGTCCGCTGAGAG